TTCTGATGGGCCACATGAAGGGAGGTGAGTTCTGAGGGGACACATGGGGGGGGCAAGTTCTGAGGGGACACATCGAGGGGGGTGAGTTCTGAGGGGCCACATGAAGGAGGGTGAGTTCTGAGGGGACACATCGAAGGGGGGGTGAGCTCTGAGGGGCCACATTGATGGGGGTGAGTTCTGAGGGGCCACGTTGACGGCGGTGAGGTCTGAGGGGACAGATGGAGGGGGGGGCAGTCGGTTTGATGAAGCAGCCCCTGGAAGGGAGGCAGCAGCTGAGGGTGGGAGGCAGGTTTTCTTGTGTTTTACCAGTTTTCCTGGGCCTCAGGGTTTCGGCAGCGTTTCGGGTGGCATTAAACGCTTTGTTGTGGCTCTTCCCTCAGGCTGGCGAGGGGCTGGCAGGCAGGAGGCAGCAGATCAGGGCTCCGTGCAGAGTCAGAGGGGACGGGGCAGCCGTGGGCCACAAGCTCAGCTGAAGGGACTGCAAAAGGTCAGTAGCTACAAACACACACACATCTCTATCATTGTTCATAACAGGCTGGGTTTATAGACTCCTCACTCTGCAGTTCAGTTTGGCAGCGTTCTTTTCAGGTGAAGTAGATCTCCCTTTTTGAGGGGATTAGGAAAACCAAGGTGTTTTTTTTCCATAAAATTTTAAGCTGAATAGGAATTGGATCAAAGCTGGAGCAAGCCTGTAGTCCAGGCTCCAGCTACGGACCTTAGAAACAGCGTCTGCTCTGTGTCACAGATTCAGCTGTAACTCGCCCGCTACGACGATGGACAGCGAAGTGCAGAGGGATGGCAGGATCCTGGATTTGATCGATGATGCGTGGAGGGAAGATAAATTGCCCTACGAGGATGTGGCCATCCCTCTGGTAGGTGAATTGCTGCTTATCAATCTGAGTTAAGGCCGGTGTGTTCACCGCAGCCCCTTCCACCAAGCAGCACCGACACTATTGCTTGCGGTGCAGCTAATTCGTACAAAAGGTTGCCGGGATGGATCTGATTTGCTCTTTTTCTCTCCTATATGCCATTCCTGTGTGCATATGAGGAGGTGGATGTTTCTCTCCCCCCTTCCCCTGACCGGTTGCCAAATCTCCTTGGAATTAGAGTGCCCTTCCCATCGCACAATTCTGGGTTTGGCATGAGGGAGAGGTACAATCGTCCTCTCTCTGTGCTTCCCCTTCGTGATATTAGTGTTTGAAGTGGCTTCCCAGTCTGTCTGTAGAACAGAGAGGATCAGCCTCATGCTGACAGTTGCAGCCTTGCTTACGCTTTATTTCCACTTTTAAAAGAAGCTGAATTCTTTTCAAATGTCTTCCTAATCAGTGTTTTCCGAATACACTGTTGCTCTGGCCAGTTCAAGGATGGCAGTACAAACTGGCATCTGCCGTGGGACTCTTGTAGCGCTGCGTCCAGTGCACGGCAGCATCTCTCCATCCACCCCCAAAGTCCCAAAGAAGCTTCAGATCTCCCACCCTGACACCTTCCTTAGCCTTCTTGAAACAACCAGGGAAGTGAGAGGTATCTGAGGATTTATCCCTTTCCTTGTTCTCCCCGAGCTTTACCCTGGCTGGCACTGACAACGCAGTGGGGACTGATAGGCTGCTAGTTTCCTTTAGGACAGAAACATTTCCAAATCACCAGTAACAGCTCAAGCTTTAGCCCTCACACCACTGTCTTTTCAAGAGAGGGCAAGGAGCCTCCAAAATCCATCCATATATATATATATATATACAGCACACGAGTTTTCCTGCCAAGATTTGGGCTTGAGGGAACGATCTTACAGAACTGTGATTCTCTGATACAAGAGCCCAAGCCCCACTTTGCTTGGAATAACCTTTATTAGGCAGCTCAAATGTTACAAACTACTTCCTTGCTGACATTTTCCTTCACCCTGTGTCTGAGTCAAGAAGAAACGTTACAGTTTCTTTCCTTCCAGCCATCTCTTGAGCTACTTACAGTCACATCCAGATGGCACCCTCACAGCAGGAAGCCTCACCAACTAACAATAGACAGAAAGGCCTGGCTGTGGATGGAAAGATCCCCAGGGATGGGGCTGGCTCTCATCGAGTAGGAAAACCAGCACAAATTCACAGGAGGCTTATTGAGCAGCACTGGAAAGGAGCAAACAGACTGGCAGAGCAGTGGTATTTGAGCCTGTCCTGAGCACCTGATCCTGTGAACTCAAATGAGCTCAAATCATACGCTGTTTTCAAAACTGGAAAACTTGATTTAGCTCATGCTGGGGTTTCCAGAGATCTAGAACTCAGAATTCTTGCCCAAATGGTATCTGGCTGAATAACGCAGACTGTGCGACTGCACCGATACAACACCACAGAGAACAAACAATCTAAGAGGAGAAAATGAAATCTCAGTTAAACTCTACTTCCTCCTCACTGTGTGGTGAGCAGTCTGTGTTGCACCCGGTGGGGGTTTCTGGCTTCTGCTGCTGCCAGAGCATGGCCACACCTGAGTTCAGCACCGAGGAGGAGGAAAGATTTCTCACCTGCCATAGGAAAGTACCATGTTACAGAACCAGGTGTCTTAATAACAGCTATAATAAATGTATTCTTGGCAACAGCAAAAGCAACACATTGCAAACAAGCAATGGAATAATTGCATCGTACTATTATTTACTTATTCTGCTTTTTCTATATATTCTCCTTCTTCGCTGCATGAGTGTATAGCAAGGCCCCAGGGTCCTGGAAAGCCAATTTACCTTTCAGATTAAGCACCATATTCGTGTGAAAAGAATATTGTTCATAACAGGGCTTAGTAATATTTTTAAGTGGATCAGTATGGATGATATGTATTGTTCAGATGCACCCTCTGGTCTCCTTTGTGGATTTTTGTATTTATCCATATGAAGTCTTAGCAACCTGCTCATTTCTGGAAGCCTATTGTGCGTGGAATGCATTGTACCTCTGTTTTGTTCTCAGAATGAGCTTCCTGAACCAGAGCAAGACAATGGTGGCACAACCGAGTCTGTGAAAGAGCAAGAAATGAAGTGGACAGATTTGGCTCTCCAGTATCTCCATGAAAACGTTCCGCCCACGGGCAACTAGTGAATCAGTGAGGTCTCATGCAGTGGGTGCATGAATGCAAGATAAAAAATATTCTTCAGCCGACCATCGCTGTCATAGGCTTCTCTAAGGAGGAAACGTCTCTGGAACAGGCTTGGATTCAAACAGTGGTTCTGCTCAGTGAGCAAACACAGTTTAAAATCCTTCTGTAAGGAGAGTGAAATGACAATGGCTGGCTGACACCTCAGAGCTAATATCAGAATGTTTCTCTTACGGTAAATTATTGGACGTCTTCTGTTAAATTGTTCTTAAGTTGGTGCTGATTCTGATCTTAAATGTTTTCTACCTGTGATAAAAAAAGTATTTTTTACTGTCTCAAGTTGTAACTGATTTCAGAGCTCGCACTGGGATCACTTCTGACCCCAAAGTCCCAAGAAGTTTTCCTGTGTAGTCCTGTGGCTGGAGTTCAGAGTATAAAAATCAAATGACCCCAATTCAGTCGTTACAGTCTTTAACTAATGTGTGGCTGAGGAAGGTTGTGTGGGGCAGGCAGGAAAGATGGGTCAACGGGATTCAAGAGCTGGAAGTAATCTGTAAATCGGGGATTATTTGAACAACTCCTTTCAGGATGGAATGGTGGGGGTGGACAGCATTTCCAGCGCTGGCAGTACCCATCCTGGGAACGTTTGCCACCGCGCGTACTATAAACAGACAGTCTGATTGATGCTAAAATGGTGATTATTCAAAATTTTTTTTTAGAGGGGGCCTGCCAGGCCCCGTGGGCCACCTGCTGAACTAGCTTCAGGCTAAAATAAATTGTTACTTCTTTTTATGCTGAGGAGAAAGGCAGGGCCCTCTTGATTTCTTTACCTCATTTTATCTCTGATTCTCAAATGTCTTTTGCAATAGGTAAAAGCCTTCTGTTCATCTTGCATGTTTCACTGTTGGACCGCTTCCTTCGCACCATTGGCAGAACTCACTAAGGAGAAAATATTTTGACAGAGTTTAGGATTACTGGGAGAGGTGAGAAAGGAACTGGAAGGAAAACAATGTTTCAAATTATTTTCTTTTGCCAGTGCATCAGAAGAAGCACTTTCCTGGAGCTTGCAGACTCCACAGAAGTTTTTTTGGTGTCTTTTCTCAATGTTTATGCTCTTCAAAACAACAAAAAGCCCAACTTTTGCCTTTGTGATTACCAAAAGGAGACTATGATTGCTGAGCTGCAGGAGGACAGAGAGCTCAAGGTGCTTGTGAAAAAGCCCTTGTGTGTTCCTGGCTTACACCATGAGGTGTAAGCCCTGCCTGCCCCAGAGAAGCAGCACGCACTTGTCTGAACAAGAAGGAGCTGCAGGCAGCCAGCAGGCAGAGTTAAGGATTAACCCTAAGAATTAGCAAAGTCAAAAACCTTAATCCCTACAGTATGGACCAAAGAAACAGCGATGCAGCTGGGAACTGTAAGAGTTCAGCTCCTCACTGGATCACCACCGGGAGGAGGCGGAAGCACAACCTGTGCTTAATGAGGTGTGTCTGATCCTCCCCATGTTCCCCTTCCCTGAACTACGTTAGAAGAATTTGCTATGAAAACATCAGGCAAAACTACCACACAAGTTTTAAGATGGAAGAAGGGAGATTTAGGTGAGATCTGGGGGAGAAATTCTTTGGTGTGAGGGTGGTGAGAGCCTGGCCCAGGTTGCCCAGAGAAGCTGTGGCTGCCCCATCCCTGGAGGGGTTCAAGGGCAGGTTGGAGGGGGCTTGGAGCAACCTGGTCTGGTGGGAGGTGTCCCTGCCCAGGGCAGGGGGGTTGGAACTTGATGATCTTTAAGGTCCCTTCCAAATCTAACCATCCCATGATTCTATCCAGCAGCCATGCCTGTTCTCTCCTCCCTTTTCTCACCCCTTTACAAACTCCCCACCACCCTCATCTTTCCAATTTTGCCCCTAGATCTTCCAGCTCCAATTTCAGACTTCCTCTCCTGCCAATTCTATCCAGTTCTCTCTTCCCCTCCCTTCTCTCACCCCTTTACAAACTCCCCACCACCC